GGCCGGGCAAGTGACCCCGGGCCACTCTGGTAGCCTAGTGTTAATGTCAAATAAAAATTATTCATTTTTTTATATATCATATTGTTTTCAAAAAGAAAATAACCATTTTTTTTTAAATCTTCCCTTATCATTGTAGAGCCAGACAGTCCAGACAAAAAATATGATATAGTCGGGCGACTTAGTTGTTTAACATTTTTTATATAAGAATTGTATTTTATTTAATATTTTTTAAAAAATTTTAATTTGTTATTAATACTTATTATATTTATTTATAAATAGAAAATATAATAAATAAATATATTTTTTATCATAAAGACTAAATATTTTATATAAAAAATACAAATAATCTCAAAATATACGAGAAATATATAACTTTTTGCTTTTTATTGTAACAATGATTGAATGGAGAACGATGCGTATTAAATAAAAGATATATAAAAAAACTTTGTGATGTGGCTGGATCTCCAACCCTGCAACCTACTAAGGTTTCAAATCCTACCATATTGTAGAATTTTCAAGAGATAAAGATAGATAAATTGAATTTAAAAAAAAAAAAAAAAAAAAAAAAGTTTCTTTTTATCGTGTTTTTTTTTATGCCACATAATTTTTATTTATTTTTCTTTTTCTTTTTAAACTTTATAAACATATATAGTGCGTGTGTATGTCTATGTGTATGTGTATGTGTGAAAGTATATGAGTATGTGTCTGTACGGGTTTAAAAAGAGGGTAGGGAGGAGCATCGGGGGGCGCTAGGGAGGAGAAGGTGGAAAGTTCGGGGCAACAGCCTTGCCACGCTGAAGGGTTTCACACCCTGGCAGGTGGCAGACTCGCCAATCTTTATTGTTTTTTTTTCCATTTTATTTGTTCACAATCAAACGCTTAGCAGAGAGAGAATAAATAAATAAAAAAATAAATTATACCGTACCACATGGTAGAGTCTGAAACTCTACCACGTCGTTAGATTTTTATAGAGAAAAAGAAAAGGAGGGGGGGAACGTATTGGAAGGGTTTTGTTTTATGCATTGGAAATTATTATAATTTTTGTTTTTCCCTCAGCCTTACTTCCCCGCCCCCCCTCATTTTTTTATTTTTGAATCGTATCATCGATGCTTATATATATACAAATATATTCATTATTATTATTATTGTTATCTTACTCTTATTTTTATTCTTCCTCCTATTATTTTTTTCCTTTTTTCTTTTATTTATTTTAAGAAAACCAAAATACGTCGCTGGGTTCGATACCTTAGGGCAGGGGGCAAGCAGAAAGGCGGGCGCAACACGAGTTGGTACGAAGATGTACTGCTGACGTGGCAAGTTCACGACCCTGTTATTTCTTTCTATTTCTTTCTTGTCTTTTATTAACTAGTCCGTTATCAGAGAGAGAGAGAGAGAGGGGGGGAAAAAAAAGGTTACAAAAACGATGCTACGTGGTGATGCGTGATACTTGGCCACATAGCATGCTTTCAATTGTGCGACGAAAGCTGTGTATTTCTAAAAAAAAGAAGAAAAAAAAAACGGGTAAGGTCGAAGAAAAACAAGAAGAAGAGGGGGGGACACATACTTATACGTGATTTTACTTTATTTTGCATTTTATTATTGTTTTAATATATATATATATACATATTAACTCCTTTTTTTTCCGTGTTTGTGTACGGGTGTGTATGTCAAGCGTCGAGCAGTAGATGAAGACTGACTTGCGATAGGCTTCGAAACCTGTACACGTGGAAACATTGTGACCCTTTATCGTTTTTTGCTTTTGCTGTTTTGTATCATTTCAGATTATTAGAGAGAGAGAGAGAAAGAGAGAGAGAGAGAGAGAGAGAGAGAGAGAGAGAGAGAGAGAG